ATATACATGCGAGCAATTTAATTTAACACGTAATACTGTGTACAATTATTAATTTAAAAAACTTTTCTGTTTTTATTTGCAGTTTATTTCAATTTTTTATCGACTGTAAGATAAGGGCACTCAAAATCGAATGAACCTGTTGAAGTGTCAGCTCAGTGGATTTCGAGAATATACTTCTCAATAATACGACATCTTGTTACTGGCAGATTTATTGAGAATAGTTGAGATTGTTGACGGATTCGTCTTCTTTCCCTGGGTCTATCTTCCACAATGTCTTCTCATTTCTGCGCATCTCAAAAGTCAAAGTCATCTAAGAATGCTAGAATTGTTTGATGTATTCGTCTACTTCCCCCCCCCCCCCATATCTTTCTTCCACAATTTGCTCTCTTCATTTCTGCTCATCTCTTTTGTCAAAGTCATCTAAGAATGCTAGAAACATCTGTATGGATTCTTCTACTTTTTCTCCGTATCTTTCTTCCACAATTTCTTCTCATTTCTTCTCATCTCTTTTGTCAAAGTCATCTTCCGACCAAACAACCCACTTCAAAAGCGCCAAGTTTCTTGTCTCTGAGCCACCAGCTGTATGCCAAACGACGGACATCCTAATCACGCAGTATTATACTTGGACGTTGTCTTTGCTTCTTTCGAGAAACTTTTTACCTTCCGTCATGCTTTGATTCGGAGGTAAATAAGACATTGACTGTGTTTATCGCTAGGACCCAGAGCTGAGGCTGGTTCCGTCTTGGGTGGCAGGGCCGGTTTCGTGCCCCTTATTGTCGATGTTTAGAAACACCAGCCTTGTTTGTTTATAGTCCCGAGTCATGCGCTATAAGTGAGAGATGAAATATCCACGGAGAAGAAAAAATATTTCTGGCGGCTGGTCTGAGCGGGGTTTGTTTGGCGAATTATGACTGCATGTGCCATATCTGAGATTGATTATTTTTCAGAAGGGGGGATGTTGCACGCATTACAGCATGCATCTGCGATGGAGGGTAGACTGATTTCTCATGCTATTATACTATCGCGTGTGGTTTGGCCAACCTTTATCGGTTGGATGTTATGATTGTCACGATAACGCTGTTCGGTCGCCTGGGCTTGTTGCTTTCTCTCCAAACCCCTAATATTTCTTTTCTTGTATGGCTAGAGGCGCGGATGTCCCCTGGGCCAAGTTTTCCTCCTTTTTGTCCTCAACCAGCACCGGGCAATTTCCCCCCGCTGCCACCGGTGCCTGTATTTGTTTTTCCTCGGTCGATTCAGAACTCCCAAATATTTGGAACCCCTCACACAAAATGGATGTTACAACTTGGGTAAACTGGCAGCAAATGCAAATAAACGCTCCGTGGTGTGTGTTCCCTCTCTGCCTTGTCAAAGGCGAAAAAAAGAACGACTCGACCGTTTGCTGAAAAAAGAGCAATAAGTCTGTACCGAGAGATTGTTGGTTTGGCGTGTTCTTCGCTTATGCTGTGCCGGGGCTGGATCCCCCCGTGGCCCCGAGGCGTTTGCTCCGAGTTTCCCTTTGGTGAAAAGAAAGAATAGAAACGAACTAGCGATCGCCGGAACAATGCGCCAATCATAACGATGTTTTCACGGGAGCGTTGACTCATTGGTCCGGTACTGAATCGTGTTTTGTGTTGGCGAAGTTTAAACAGTGAGTCAAAATACAACTAGCTTATAATTTTCCCCTCTTCTGGCCCGGGACAAAATAATGCAGTAGCAAAGGCAAACATTTGCTGGGAACTCGCCCTGTACTAACACCCTCACTCATGTCGCTCTTTGCAACTATTGAGAAAGAGCCCCTTTTCGCGCACCACAAACAAATCGAATTTGTTGTGAAAATATCCTGGGTTTTTATTCAGCCTGTACGACTTTGAAGCTTTTGACAACTTCTTTTCTTCCTGAGCGTCAAACATGTCAATACACCCAGCTGGTCGAAAAGAGAATTACATCAAACTGATTTTGTTTTCTTTTGGCAAGCCTTTCCTTACTCAGTAATACGAGAAAAAATCTCCGTAACGTAGACACCACATGAGTGAGAAAAAAACTCTGAAGTTTTAAATCATCAACCCATGGGCTCTGTCGACATTTTTGATAATTTATCTCCAACTCGTAAATTATATATGTCAGGCTCTACCATTAGGAAATCAAAATATACATATTTTCCAACGTCTTCTGGCGGAGTGTAATCTTACTAGGGTAAACATAACAAACAAATGCAAACATTCCAGCATCGCGACTGGCCAGTCGGCCCCTACCAAAATATCGGTACGGATGCCCGTCTTCGTCATGGACGCGGAGACAAAAAAAAAGATTGAGAATGAGAGAGATGACACAAGAAAAATTGGAATATGATTTCGAAGAATGATGGCCCGCAATGTTTCCAAAATATTTTGGAGAAGATTCCGCGGCGACTATAAATTGTTTCGCATTCCCACGTCCAAACAGTCAAAATAAGTGGAAATATTTAGGTAATTTTTTTTCCTCAGCGAGACGGGATGGTGACAGTGGCGGGGAGATCTTCGATCTGGTCACCATGTGTGTGTTCCTGTGGTTCCTGGGGGGAGGGAGGGGGCGAATGTCAGGGGGAAAAGAACATATTTTCTTGTCCATTTATCTTGATGGTGTGTTATCAGCGCAGCGGTGCGCGTATTAATTAATGTGATGTCATATTTGGCGCGAATCAGTACCGTCGCGTTTGGCGACGCATGGCATCGGAATGCCGTCAGAAACTGATCACTTTGATTCGTTTACAAATTCCGACAGACCGCCTGTATTAACTCATCCGCATCGTTTAAGCCTTATCGGGCAAAAGAAGTGTCCACACAGAAAGAATATATCATACCTTTAGTAGCCACGCCCCCTGTTTGGCATGGTTGATGATCTCATACAAATTGCACAACTAAGTACAAGACCGCTCTCAAACCTCGTCGAAACAACTTTTGGTTTCTTTAGTTCTCTAAGTTCTCGTTTTATTTTACCTTTCGAGTAGATTCCTACTTACAGTAGATTTTTCAGTCTGTTACTAATTTTGATCGATTTTCAGTTGCAGCCTGATTTGACTATTTTCTATTGTCAAATCTAACAGCAGGTTTTTCAAGAGTTCAAATCCAAATTTAAATTGAGAATTTGTATTTATAAATGTAAAGGATGTTTGACTGGGTCATGATCATGACAGGTTAGTTTCTTACTTCTGATGATTTATATTTTGTTTTCTTGTGTGGTTGTGGTTGAAAACCTTTTTTTTTTAGTTTTATGGGTTTTTTTAGTTTTATGTGTGAGCTTGCCGTTACAAAAAGAAGTAGCCGTACATAATTCGTTCTCTTGCTGGTTTCCATGAAAGTTGGAGTTCATAAATGTGTGTTGGTCCTTCCCCGGAAACAAATATACTGTACATAATGTACTATAAATTCTTTTGCTAAAGACATTTATTTAAAAAATTGAACCAAAAATCAGCATGGATGTTAATGTTACGTGCATTTTTTGAACGTCTTCCAAGATCACATTAAAAAAAGATGGGAGATCTTTTCATAGATTTTGTTAAATTCTTTTGGACACACACATCCATATTGTTAATGAATGAGTCATTCCTTTGAAAATATCGGAAATCGGAACTGTTTAACTCTTGTTAATTATAATTTCGTGTAAATTTCATCGTAGAAGCTAAACAGGCAAATTGAACCTGTCAGTCCGAACACCGTTCATCTGCCACATTTTTTCCTGTAGGCCAACTTTAAATCTTAATAGTGCGAAGAGTTAAAGATTACTCGCCCTTTTTTCCCCGTGTAACTTCAGGAATTGCTTGTGCATGTTTGACCAAAGTTTAACACGGAAACCATGTTGGTATAGAACGATCGTTTATAACCGTGTGCAGCTTCCAATAGCTAGGTAAACCATCTTCTTAACAGTTTTTACGACTCCTCAAACTTGACCCGTACCTCCATTCACCGGGTGGCTGTTTTGTATCAAAAGGTGGGCAGCGTCTTTGTATTTTCTTATGTGAATTTGGGAACAGCCATCTTGAGATTTCAGCGTAAAGATGTGCATATTTCACACATTCTATAGACAAGGGTATGAACTATGAAGATATGACTCTTATGATCCGAGTATTTTGTTTTAATACTTTCCGTCCGGTTTTATATTAACACAAACAGGTTATTGTAACTGATACTTTTCCGAGTCAAACTGACACTTGTCTTGATCACTTTCCGGAAAAGTGTCATTTTGACCTGGAAAAGTATCAAGTCACATGTGACCCAGGACCTTTTAGAGTGTATAGCTTCAGAACATAATGCTGGATTGTGAGTTGTTTGTCTTTTGTCTTAAACCAACTTAGTACATTCCAATTATGCAAGATTTCTGTCTTCAGAAGGAAGGTCTACTTCTTGCGCATCGAACTTGTTTTATTTATACAATAAACTGCATCAAATTAATTATACTCTAAGAATCAAAATGCTGACTTCTTGAGGTATCTGGTAAAAACTCCCACGTGTGTCCTCCTTTATGAGTTCCACTTGAAATTAAATGTTCTCAAATATAGCTGAAATGAATCACACAGTGCATAATGTAATTAGGCCTTAACATTGTTTATGTGAAGTCAGTCTGGTTTCGAACTCCCTATGTCCTTTCAGTTAGCCTTGTTAATTTGGGAAACTTTTGACCATGATATTAAACTTTTTCTTAATGCAGTTGTGAAATCTTCGAAAAAAATTTAAATGCAGAAAAAGTGACCGAATATTTGAACTTAAAATATTTGAGCTTTTCGGAGCAAACGTTGACTTGGGTGCCAGTATTTACCTTTTAAACGTTGATTCTCACATGAATTGTATAACAGTCTGAAACCATAAAAAAAATATTATTTGAAAGTCATCAATTTTTATATTCACTCTTCACAACATCTCTAGCTGTTGGCTGTATCTGATAAAGTAATTCAATAAATTTGGTCTAATAAAAGTTGGTTAGGCGATTAAAACTAAAGCAAATTTCAGTGAAAAGTCAATTTTTTTTGGTAAGATTGTTATCACGGCAAACGTATAAATATATTAGTCATTCGATCTGACAATGCACATTCAAATTTACAATTATTTACAGCATTCATTACACATCATCGCAGAATATTCATATTTAGTTTTAACAGACACAGATTTAACACTGTTTAAAGCTTCTTTGAGGAAGGGATTTTTTGAAAAGTGATATTAACCTTAACGGTTTTCACAAACAAAACAGATAACATACAGTTCATTTGAGTCTGTGATTACTGGTAGGAGACCAGTGAAGTTGCCGCTTGTTGGTGGGATAAGATGAGCGGTGAAATGTAGGGACTGTATGCCCAAGGTCTGTTTGGCGTAGCGGGGCTGGGGTAATGTGGTGAAGGGGACAAAGCAGCAGCTGACGGCAAACGATAGGCCGGGTAACCGCTGTCTCTCTGACCTGCTCCCGTTAAAGCCGAGTAAGTCCGATACCGCAGCGTGGTTTCTGCCAGGTACTTATCTTGACTGAGGCCGACCTTTTCCGCCGAGCGAACCCGCTGCCAGAGGTTTTCCCCGGTAGATCGCGGTACGATACCGCCGTGGTTCCCTTGCACTTGGAACGCCTGTGTGTGACGATCAGTCACCACGGAGAGTGACCGGGGCTTGCTGTGTCCGTAATTCTCATAACAGGGTCGCTTGCAGTAGGACACGTCATCGTCGTTGTCATCTTCATTGCCGGAGTCTTGGGAACATGGTCTCTTGCGATTCAGGAGATTTTGGTGCTCATGGTCGTTAGTCGGTGTCGCCAACAAACTTTCGATAGAGAAGGAACTCCGTGGTTTACGCTCTTCTGACTTGACGGCCGGTAGAAGAGGTGATCCGAGGGGCGGTCTTTGGACCGGGGTCAAAGGAACAGGAACTTGGCCAGTCGACCTCGGAATTGTCGCGGCCGGTCGGTCGTCGCCAAAGCATTCTGGGTCGCTGTCCGCGCTCATGTCGTTGTCAGGGTCGTCATGTTGTGTGTGGTCAATCATGTTGCAGCTGTCGACCTCCACACAACTCGTGTCACTTTTCACGGGTCCCTTGTCACCGAGTTCACTCAGGTGTCGCATACGTGCCAAAGTGTGATCCTGATCTGGACTCACTGCGGATTGCCCTGATTTCTGTGTCCCTTTAGTGGCTTCTTCCTCCCTTATTGTCTGGTCTGAGGAATCTGCTGTGTGATCGTCTTTCTGACATTCTTCTCTCCCCTGACTCTTGGCTCCGTTGGCTGACTTGGGTCGCCGTTTCCGTCGCCGGAAGTTGCCGTTCTCGAACATTTCGTCACAGTTGACGGCCAGGCTCCAGTAGTTACCTTTACCCGGCTTCCCCTTCTCACGGGGAACCTTTACGAAGCAATCGTTCAGGCTGAGATTATGACGGATAGAGTTCTGCCAACCTTGCTTGTTGTCGTGGTAATAAGGGAACCGGTCCATGATGAATTGATAGATGCCGTTCAGCGTGATCTTTTTGTCAGGTGCGCTACGTATAGCCATGGCGATGAGTGCGATGT